CCAGGGAGTCATAGACTGAAAGAAAGAACTGAGGTTGTGTTTGAATGTTCATTACCCCAACATAAACACTGTTACAATCACCAAGGAGAAGAGGAGAAAATGCAGACACAGTAGTTTAAAAAAAAATCTAAAAAATATCTAAAAAGGAGGGACATTATGTAAAGAGATTAAACTGAAAGGACAAAGCAGCAACTTAAAACTAGGAAGAGGGCATTGATAAGTCCCCCATTCTCACCTCAAAATAGTAAAGTATGTAGTTAAAATTGAAATTTCTAGTGCTTTGAGTAAAATGCTGTTTCTGCTGTATTTGGTAAATTCAGATGAGAAGAGATAAGGAGTCTTCCTGCAGTATTTCTGAAATTTGGAAATTACAAGCTTCATCACTTCTTTTGGTGCCTTTGGATACACAAACTGTTTCAAAACCTTATAAAATTATAAATATTTTAAATCTGGGAAATGAAAAAGAGCTAGAGTATAGCACTACACTTTTATTCAGAAGAATAAAATAACTAACCTGTGATAATGTTTCATTTTATACTAAATCACATCTAATCTGTACATACAGAAAAATCTGTATTTACAGAAAAATTTATGTAAGGCAATTATATTTAAAAGCACTTCTATAAAGAAAGGAAAATTAATGAATGGTACCATTAAAATTCTCCAGACATAGGCATTTTGCCTGAAACTTTTATTAGACAGCAGTTGAATTAGAATCAATAGTGTAGTGTGAATTAAAACTAATATTTTCCTACAGGTCCTGTGCACTTCTTTGGTGCAATTCTGTCACACCTGTATTGTCTTTGCCCTCAGAATGTCACTACATGTTTGATGGAATAGACTCAGGATACCCGAATAACTGGGTAAGTCCAAATAATAGCTTCTTTAAGGTAGGAACTATGACTTTCTTTAAAAAAGGAGTAAAGCTTATCCTTTGTCTGTGGATGGCCAAAGGACCCATCAGAAATGTTAACACTTTTCTTTCCCATGGCAGAGTTCATTTGCTGCTCATTGTACCATCTGGAACAGCAGAACTACACTTAAATATGTTTTTATTTAAAAGAACAGTAGTACAAGCAAGCAAAAATTAAAAGCCCTACCAAAACAAAATACTATGTGATTACCCATTTCTTCTTCTCTATGGAAGAGGAGGGAGCAGATGCAATTTAAGTGACTTAATGCACTTAGATGTCCTCAGATATGTACTAGAGAGAGCGTTTAAAAGCTTACACAGAATGCAGTAGAATGAGGTGCTGAAGGAAGAGGCAGCAGCACCCATACTAACTTTGATCTTGTCCCTAATGTCCCCTGATGGTGGAACGTATATTAACTGCCGTGGGCTTGTGAACAGGTAAGATGCCCTTTTCCACAGGGTGTAAAGCCGGTGCAGTTTGGCGAGCTGTACCACTAGATGGAGGCAGATATTGCACAGCTCACATCTAGTTAAGCAGGGTGGGATGTGCCAGTGGCAACTGTTTCCCCCAAAGGAGAGGTCCTGTATGTGAATGGAAGCACAACAGGAGCTCAGCAAGAGGTAAGATGGTCACAACAAGTCATCAGTGGTACCTTTGCCCTCTCTGAGGACAAAAATCCTGGTTCCTACTGTATTTCACACACTGTGGAGATGCTATCTGAATGCTGCTGCCTCTTGGAGATGCCTCCTTCAAGACACAAGGGTGCCTCACTCCCACCTTCTACTGACCCCACTGCAGGCCCATCAGTTTGTGTGCTCGCTGGAAGCTGTCTCCTGGATGTTTCCCACTGTCAGGACAGTCTTCCTAGGAATACACCTCTGGAGTTTTATCCCATTCATCTCAGTTCATATGGAAATTAATTGTACATTAGAAAACAGATCTGGTACTTTCAGTCAAGTATTTTTTCTCATGCCTTCCCCATTTGTCAGTAGAGTGCCTCCTCCAGCATGGTGCATGGTTTGCCCCATGTGTCCTTAGGAATGGTTCTTTCTGCATGGTCTTTCCTCTGATGATGTCTATCTTCTATGTCTGTTTTCTCTTTAAGAAGCACTACTGAGTGCCTTCAGCTCAATAAAGAGCATGCTGTCTCTGTTTTGTGCAATGTTCCCTGTGGGGACTTTGGCCAAGAGAACAGGGTCCTTTCTATCAACACTGCATCTTTCCAGGACCCCCTAGATTGACCCAAGTTGATCAACCATCCACACAGACCGTGGAACTCACTAGTCATATTTTTTATAGTCTTTAATGCAGTCTGGGATCTGACTGTTCTGGGACTTCCTGTTTTTCTTGTACCTCAAAACACTTGTACCCTCAGAATAATAGCCACTTAACACCAGCTACTTCATCTTCAAACTTCATGTTGAAGAAATGGGAGTGTTTCCAACTTCTGTCTTACCAGAGGTGCGAAACCTTTCTGAGGGGGAAGCAATTGAAGGAACTGTGCTTCATACCCTGTTCTTACCTATCCTTGACACTCTGTATATCTCAGTCAGTGACTTATTTTGGCCATCCCACCATCTGGAGCTCCGTCTTGCAGCAGATAAAAGGTTAGAGGGACTGGACTAACAGGAATTCTTTATGGAATAAGCTGCTGGTCATCTTGCAGGTCTGGAGCTCTAATTCTTTCTCCTCCTCTCTTCAGCTGGTTGCTCCCTCTCCTTGTGGAGGAGGTAGCTGTAAGCTTGCTGTCTTGCCATTGCTAGAGGTGGTCCCAAGGCAATCACAGAACAATGGGGATCCCGTGGATGGTGAAGGTGCTTTTTCTGCTGCAGTACCCTGAAGATAAAGTGCCGGCTAGGAAAGGAGTGATTAGAAGAGGTAAGAAGGAAAGCAGGAAGAGGTAGTTTCCCTGTGTGACAGAGGGGAATTGACTTCATCCCTTCAACTTTTTTCGTATCCCTCCAGCTCCAGGGAGCCAGAAGGAGCAAACCCCAGAGATCAGCTGGTACTCAGAAACTTGACTGGGAATTAGGCCTACCTTGGGAAGTGTGTTAGTGTTTAGATGCTGTCCTAGGAAATGCATATGTCTGGTGGTTGAGAGAGAAGGACATGAGTCTTCTGAGTATAGGTGGATTAAAATTGCCTCTCTTCCTTTTCACTTGGTCCTTGAATTGCAGAAGATGCCACTGCTTTCTTATGTCCCATGTTGTCCATGAGCAGACTTCCTTCTCTCAGAGGTCCTGCACCAAACCTGGGACTGGGCAAAACTTTTTCCCAGTTGTATGTGGACTCAGAGCCCTTGTGTCACCAGGCAGCAGCTTTTGAATGGGAAGAGGCTTTTAGATAAAGGCTAGGAAATGCTGTCAGGCTTTTGAGAGACTAGACCTTTGCGCACATTTGGCAAATGTATTTAGGCAGAAGCAGATTTCTCTCCCCATCGAGGAGCATAAAAATCTCCTAATGGAGAAACCATTGGTCCAGTAAGAGTTTATCTTACTAAATATGCAAAAAGGCTCCAGTGTTTGCAGACCAATGCCTGTGTGCAAAGGAAGCTATTCTCATCACATCCTTCCCAGTCTCTCCAAGGACTGAGCCCAGTGGAGCCTTTGAAGTTTCTCAAGTGATGCTTTGCTCAGGGAGCCAGGAAGACATGGCCTTTTTCTCCTGGGACTAGGAGACATGGATGCTTTTTCCCATGTCATTTCAGCTCTTCAGCTGTGGCAGGAAGAAAAGCAGCAGAGAGCAGCTCAGGCCTCTAGGACAGCTGACCAGCTCCATCAACCAGGATGGCTGATAACCTAACCTCGATTACCTAACCTCCATAACCCTAATTTTTCCAGGGTTATACCTGTCTGTGCTTGATTTTGTTTTCTGGCAATGTGGGATTAGTCTTCCAAAGGAGGGAAGGAGAATTCTTGTTTTGGTTTATTTTTAAATCTCAAAATACCTCAGAAGTGTTTGAATAAAACAGTGGATAATGGGAATCCTAGTCCAGTGCTTCTTAAACCTGCTTCTCTGGTGAGCTAGGAGGACACAAAGTTGAAAAGCTGTTCCCTTTGGGAAAGCATCCCAGACTGTGCTCAAGGAAGCACTGTGGAGACCTTCTCCTCTATGTGTGAGCCACAGGGGAAGCACACTGTGATTCTGAGCAGGCAGCAGTAGGAACTGTGAAGGGCCAGGACACACATGGGAATTGAAAGCAAGCCAGGAACAGGGTTTGTAACTCTGGTAGTAAATACACATAGGCTCTATAGGTACCTACGCCTCTCTTCAAAAAGACATTTTCTTTCTATTATGCATGCAGACGTTACTTAATCACACAGTGAAATGCCAGGAAAAAATAAAAGGCAACAGAGTATATAAGGTTAGTTTGTTTTTTGTTTTTTTTTAATCATCAAATGGAATTGTATAAAGTGCAAATAAATCAATATAAAAATTCAGTGAGAGACAGTGCACTCCAGCAGCTCACCACTTTAATTAGCTAGAGGATTAAAATTTTTTTGGAACACCAGAACAACCAGATGTGAATTTTTTGGTCTTTTTGAAGTACCTTCTTCATGAGTTTGATGACTTTCTCCCTATGGGAAAGAAGCACAAAACATAGAGACTGTACTAGGAATGGACAATGCAGGCAACTGTTTTATTCCTAGTGTACCTGTAGTGTGCCTTGAGGGAGGTGGTACCTAAAGAACAGCAAACCTGGCAAAGTTTGCCTGATGGGGTGAATTCTGGTTATACTCTGCTCTTACTGTTGAGTAGTTTCTGCCTTTGCTGAACTGTCCCAGTGACTTGGTAAGTGGCACAATATGTCTCATTTCCCTGACAGCAGCCCCACTCACTGGAACAGCTTATTTGCAGAGTAAAGTCCGCAGGATTTGTTTGGCAATAAGTAGGCGTGCAGGAAGACAGTGTGCCAGGCCCCTGCACTGCTACTCCATCACATCTTGGTTGCAGTGGGGACACACTACAGAAGGAACATAGTGGATGGAGTACACAGGAATGTGTTTTTCCCAAGTTTGTTCCCCTTCTTTGTTTTTGGTAATAAGATGAGGCCCTTGCAATCAGGGAGAGCAGTGAAACCTCTACCCCAGTAGGTTTTATCTTGAAAATCGAATCTCATTGTGAATTTACCGTATAACTTCTGAATTCCTCTCCTGTCATCCTCAGAAAGTCTGAAGGTTGCTGGGTTCACATATGAGTAGAGAGGGTACATCAGTGCTTCACGGACATTTGAATGAGCAAGTCCCAAGGAATGGCCAAACTCATGAGCAGCAACAAGGAACAAATTAATTTCTACAGCACAGAAGCATAGAAAAGTATGTTAAAGGCATGGCATTTCTTTTTCACATACAAAGAATTGAAGTAGCTGGAGAATTTATATCTTTCATTCCCTTGAAGTGAAACCTCAGAGTTTTGATCAGTTTTTACTGAACTTTCTTATGTAACTGTAATATTTTAATTAAAACATTACTGATCTCTTGCATATGCATCTAGAGAACCTGAGTCTCTTTCCAACCCTGCTTTTAGTCAACCTTATTCCTACAAACAACTCATTTTACCTTTTCATAATTTATGTAGAAAACAGAGGCTCATAGTTCTTGTTTAGCCTGTGAAAAGTGCTTCAAAATATGGACAGAACAGGCATTATGTAGCTGCAAATCATAATGAAGCACAAAGGTAGTTGAAAAGAACAGAAATGTTGGTAATGAAATGGTACTGAAGCATGAAGAGATAAGGAAAGCATTTCCTATGGCTATGTTTTAACATGTACAATGTTTGCCTTTCCCCTTCGTACACACATGTTGGTTTTACCTCGATTGTACTCTGACCACCTTTCATCATCATCAAAATGAGCATCTCCACCAATCCCTTCTCCAGGTGCAAACGCATGAGCTAGTGTGTTACCTCTTCCATCAAAAGGATATCCGTCACCATGCTCTACATTTGAAAATAAATAAATGTCATCAGATGGCATCAGCTGTAATGTTTAAATTCAACAAATTGAAGCATGTTGCTTGTTTGTGCTAGTCTCATTCATTAGTGATCCTTAAAAAAATTCCTACAATAGCAGCAAGATTGTAAAAACAAGGAGCAAGGCTTAGGAAACACTCAAAATTCATTACTTAAGTTCACAACTTGTATTTGATAATTCAAGCTGCTGCATGTTTCAGAAAGAGCTGAACACTTGGTTTCCAAGTCTTTCTCGATGTTTTCAATGTTGGAAAGTGCTGGGCAACATTGGGGGTTGGAACTAGATGATCTTTAAGGTCCCTTCCAACCCAAACCATTCTAAGATTCTATGAACATTAGTTGCAGACATTCTCACTTGTACTGATTTTAGTGGAAGACAATGATTTCTGTTAGATAACCATGTTCCTGAACAGCTGAGATAATTTGTCCCCAGCCTTGGGCTACAGTCCATTACCTACTTCTATCACAGTGCACATGGAATGTTGCTGCTTCCAACCTTGAGTGCACGAGCTGACAGGGTGTTTGTACCAGCTCTGAAAATTTCCCCATAACCCTTAGTAAGCCTCTGTGTCCTTTCCTCCAGGCCGTGTGGATGGACACTGGGGCAGGGCTAACACAAGCAGAAGAGACCTGTCACCTGTCAGAGTGTGTGACAAGGGATTAAAACCCATGCCAACTTGCAGGATCCATTCTCACTTTGACCAGCACATTAGTCGACTCTTCCTTGCAAATTATACGCTTTCCACCAGTGAAGCATGAGTTTGGGACATACTAGTGTTTATATGCAGTCATCTACTTATAAGCCAGGTGTCTGATCTTTGCTGACAGTCAATGGAGATCTAGTAAATATTGTCAATGGATCTAGGGAACAAGTCAGCCTACCTTAAAGTAGGCAAACCTTAGTTTGGCTAAGTGGAGTCAGTTTAGGTTCCAGACACAAGGAAAAGGTATGAAGGTATGTCTACATTCATGTATTAGTCTGGATCACAACTGAGCTGCTGAAGTGACTCTACTGGTCATCTGCATTTACCATGCCTTGGCTCGCACCTTGGTGCAATCTTGGAGTGCACCAATGTGATTCCTTCTGGAAGAAAATCAAACAGAAGATGCTGTCTACGGCTAAACCTAATCCACTCTAGCTGCCAAAGACTGTTCATTCCAGGGAGCCAGGCTAGATCTAGACCAAAGTAAACTTGCCTGAACCTGCCTGTGCTGGAAATCAGCTGTTTTTCTCTACAGATTTATTCCTGTTAGTTTGCACTATTTGGCAAGGAAGACAGAGCCTTGAACATCTTAATTTAGATGTCTCATTCTGGAGCTGAATTCTCCCTCCATTTCGCAGCTGTAACTCTGAAAGGATTTTCTTATGGTTTCATAGGAGTAACACTGAATCATAATGTATAAATCTGCTGTCATGATAAAGAGAAGATAAAATTTATGCAGACTTCAGAATAATTCCAAACTCTTTGTTCTTTCTTAAAGCTGTGGCTATAAAAATACATGGTTTGAGTCAAATATGGACCATTACATTTTTAAAATGGCAGATATTCTCACCACGAATTGCAAATGCAATCACAATGTCTGCATGTCCCCTGAATACTCTTTGGAACTTCAGAGGAGTCACATCACTCCATACCATAAAAGCCCTTCTAATTGCATCGTCCACTTTCTTTCTGGGTAGATCAGGTGTATAATTGACAATCCTGGCAGCAAAAAGAAACAGATTAATGTCATTTAGGGTGTGAAGGAAACTCACATAGTTAAATACAAAGATACCCTTTTCCCCATAAAACCTGAAACATCACTAACTTGTAAGTCAAATATGTCTTTCTCCATCTTGGATTTCCAGGAAATGTTTTGTAATCTGCTACATCAGGGACTCCACATCTGGGCTGTTTCATTATTTCTTCTGTTTCTTTATTTAATTTTCCAGTAACAGTCAGGTGGAAAAACCTCTGCATTTCTTTAATCCTCTCTTCTAAGTTTAGGCTTTGTGTTTTTGTAAGAAGTGGAAAGAATTTATCAAGATAAGCCTGGAAGAAGAAAAGGAAAATAAAAGTTAATACATATATCTGTGATCTTTTGGTAATTGCATTTGTCATTTGATTGAATTGTTTTATCATCTTGCAGTCATGGCTAGTTTTAGATTTATTTTTTCTCCCCATTTCAGTTTACCAAATGCTGTTATCTCTGTGGTATAGACTATCATATATAAAGAGAATTGTAATAGCAGTGAAATACTATAAGCAAGCAATTCTTTTAAGTAAACACAATTTACTGAGCATTCAAATCCTCAGCCTTCCAATGCAATCTTCATAATATTTTTGAGATGTTTTAAAAATGTGTATTTACCAGTCGGAACTTGGTCTCGTTTGTAAGTTAGACTTAGGGTCTCTAAGCTTGTCAGCAAGTTTTAATTGTTCTATGTCACCTCTGCAAAAACTATTGCGGTGATGTAAGGTCATAAGATAATATAAACAGATAGGAAAGGAATGTAGAAACTGAATCAAAAATCAGGTTATTCATAATGCAGTTACGTTGTCCCCCTGATAACATACCTTTACATTCTCGAAGTCTGTGTTACTCTGTGATTCTGGCTGAAGTTGTGCTGGAAAAGCCAGACTCTCAGGTAGGAGGATGGCAGCACAAAGCAGGAGGTACAGCATAGTGCCCAACTTGCCAAGGAGCCTTGCTACAGGAGGAAGGGTTCGACCTTCTGTCTCCCAAGACCACAGCTAAAGTGCTTATATAGATCCTGATAACTCCCAGCAGCAGTGACGTAAGTGACTCACTTTTTGGTGGTGTTAATGTAATGTGATCACTATTCTAAGAAGTAAATGAAAGCATGTTAAACAAATCTTTCCTTTGACTTCCCTGTTGATGTCATGTCACATCTAGAAGCCAGTTTGGGCTCTTTCTTTTTATGTTATTCCAGCAGTGAAACCACAGGGTCATAGGGAAGTTCACTTTCTGTAACTTCATCAGTACAGTTACTGTATAATCATTCTTACTGTGCTTCCCCCAAGTTCCTTATACATAAAGGCATTTTGCAACAGCCCTTTGGTTGGACAGCCTGCCTGCATTAGTTGATTCAGAGGCAGAGATAAGATGGATGGGACAGATTCTATCTCACTGAAACTACTGGCATTTCCTAGGAAGTGTGCACAACACTGTCTAGGTAATTTTTCTCGTTCAAATTCTCTTGTGAGGTATCCTATGCTGCAGTAGATCCACTTCAGTGAAGGAAGAGGTTTCTGCTGTTTTTACAGAGATCAGAAAACAGCTCTTTAAATGTGCCCTCTAGAAATAGAAGGCTGTGGGAAGCCTTTGTCTCTTTCCTCCCAGACGAGATGGCCTTTCAGGAGAGTCTCTTTACATTGGAGAACTAGATGTAAAACATAATTTACATCTAGACAGTGTTGTGCACACTTCCTAGGAAATGCCAGTAGTTTCAGTGAGATAGAATCTGTCCCAGCCATCTCATCTCTGCCTCTGAATCAACTAATGCAGGCAGGCTGTCCAATTTACAAGAATGAGTGAAAGTCCTCAGGAAAAAAAGAGAAGAGCTTACTCTAACAAATTTGGAGCTATCTTCTACCTCTGGTTGTACCAGTCCAATCTAATGGAGGTCCTTGAAGCACTGGCAGAGAAAACCAAAGTTGAGCAGGGCAGCCACAACCTCCCTGGTCCCCTGAGACTAACACTGGTCTCAGCTTCACTCCACCAAATTCCACTGGAAGTAATAGGCTTTGAGGACTAGAAACACCAGTCCACAGACTGGCTTCTGAATTTTTTTCAGGCTGTACAGTTTTTTGACCATATTACCTTTAATCCAAAAGGAAAGGTGAATAAATGGGAAAAGACTGTTACAGTTTCTCACAATAAGACAGCTCATATTGGTGTAGCTGAACATGTATGGAAGAGTTTGTGGGTTACTAGCTTAAGTCCAATGTACTTCTGACTGTCATGACAAGAAAGTCTTTGATTTCATGGAGAGATGATCTATACCAAAACACTACTGAGTTATGCAGGAGAGGACTACATTACACAGTCACGTCTGAAACAGTTGCTAAAGGAACGATGCTTCCACCTGATAGTGAAAACAGCCCAGATACCTGCCATGCGGTCATTTCTTTACATATGTATAGGCTTACAGGAAATCTATCCATGTCCAAATTTTAAAGCATGATAAAAAAAAAAAAACTGGTTTATTTTTGGGAGCAGATTCATCTTTTTCTTCCTCAACAGCTGCCTTTATGTCTGACTGTGGCAGTAAAGCAGGATATGGACCATGGTCTGGGTGGCAGGAGATGAGGATGTGTTTAAACCACTTTGAACTCCATGACTCCAGAGTGTGTTACTGATTATTTCCTCATATACACGAGAGGAATTTGAAAGCCTCCAGAGCCCCATTCCAGTTGACAGACTATTGAGAAACTTACGTATTTTTTTAACTGGGCCATGGGCAAAACTGAGATTTTAAACACAAGAGTTTGCTGAGGAAGGCCAAGTGTCATGTTCCACTTTATTTTCTGCTGGAAATTTGTCGTCTTCTCCATTTTCCCCCCCCCCCAAAAATAGGGAGGGTTTCAATGAACATTGGGCTTGAATTAAAATAATAAAAAAACTTTCTGTGAAAATAATTTTAATTTATTTGGGCTTGAAATCATCAGAAATCAGTCTAATTCTAATAAGATCAATATCAAAAGGAAACTGATGCTGATTTTTAGATTTAACTGTGTGAATTTTGAATACTTTATCTTTTTGTCTTGATCTTGAGTGACAAAAAGTGTTGTGGGTCAGGAAAATTAATTTCCTGCCCAAACATCAGAGTGATACCATTTACAGTCATTACAGAGTATGGCCTGTGTAAAGAAAGGTCAAGGAGGTCAGAAAAACACTGTTGGAGATATTTAATAATAGAAGTTGTTGTAGCCAAACAGTGAAAATAAAAGCAGTCTGTGATGTAAAATTCTATTAGGAAGACTCACAATATTTCCACAGAAATGTTTACACTGTGACATTTTCTGAGGTGAGTAACCCTGCTGAGAACAAGGATGCTTCATGAAACTGTGTCCTATGCGGAACTCATTGATGGGCATCAGAGCTTTGGTAGTGTAGAGAAAAATACTTATATAGAAACTAAGACCTGATCCTCCTTTGGACATGAGTGGGATGAAAAAGTGAAGTAGAATTGAATGATTCAGTGATGAATGATCACTGTTTCCTGGTCATTTGACTTGGACAGGAGGCTCAACTGGATTCTGCCCAACCTGAATGCAGCCAACAGTGGATGCAAGTCAAGGGCTACTCAAATGTCTGCGAGTGTAGGTGGGATGGAGTTAACGTTCTTCATAGCAGCCTGTATGGTGCTGTGTGTGGAATTTTTGCTAAACCAGTGTCAATAACACACCAGTGTTTTGGGTATTGGTGAACAGTGTTGCATCAAGGCTTTCTCTGTTTCACACTCTTCTCCCACTGTGTATGGAAGAGGCTGGATGGGAAAGAGGCTGGGAAGGGACACAGCTGGAACAGCCGACCCAAGTTCTCCAAAGGGGTATTCCATATCATATAATGTCATGCTCAGCAATAAAACTAGGCTAGCAGAAGAAGAAGGTAGAGTGAGTGTCATCTTCCAAGGCAGTCATTGCCTGGAGACTGGACATGAATCTGCTTGCGGGAGGTAGTAAGCCTTTGCATTACTTCCTCCTTCCCCCTCACCCCTTTCTTTCACTTATTAAACTGTCTGTGTCTCAATCCATGAGTTTTCCACAGCTGCTGGTGTGGGCAACCCACTACAGTGAACATCAAGCAAAAAGAATGGCCAAAGATTCCTGGGAAATGTTTTATATGGGTCACTTGAGAATTATGCAATATTGTATTTAAGGTCTTTCAAAACTGGATGAACCTGGATTCTTATGGTCTCCAGGACACCTGATTTGTTTTGTTCTGTTCAATTTGACTAACAAAAATAAAATTCAAACATGGCAAATATTTCTGTAGAGTAAAATTATTTTTTGCATTGTGATTTCTTGAGGCTAAGCCCAGTGAAGCACAGTCTACTTCAGAAAATTCCTGGCGTTTTTCCACAAAATGAACCTTCATCCTTCTTCTTGTCTCAGCTTTGTATGGCACGCTCCTTTTGTATGCAAAAAGGCCTCTGAGCAACACAGATGTGAAGTTCCTTCATGGCTGTTATGAGCCATTTTTCTTGTCTGTGGCCTATACTGTAGAGGGAGGCACATCTCCATGGTTTCTGCACTCCATTTCCACAGATTTTAACCCTGAGAGGGCTCTCTTCAAAGGAGTCCTTTGGCACCTGGAATCCAGGGCTACGTATCCATGTTGCAGACTATATGAGGGTAAAAACCTGCAGTCACCACTGCCTGGGCACCACGGTTCTGCTGGGGCACCTTGGTGCTGTGTCAACCCATCCCTGCAAACAGACAATCCAGTTCTTCCCTCCTGTTTGACTGCATCAAGGTGCATTGAGCTATTTCCCAGCAAGATCTACCTCATGTCCCACTGCTTTATGGGAGGAAAGGCCCAAGATAGATATCCAGGATACTAGATATCCAGGTCCAGCACAAATAATGTGACAGGAGCTAACACATCTAAGTTACTAATAATGAAGTAATCAAACTTAACTTATCTCAACTTGTGAATTTACCATCTTACAGCATCTAGAATTGATTTGCATTTAATGACTTCTCATTTACAACAGTTTAATTGGGACATCATGTGGGAAAAAAGATGTAAATATAGAGATAAGTTTTTACAATAACAATCTTGAGCAATAAACCACAAGGAAAATAGCATTCCTGTAAATGTTACCTACCTGTGTTAGTTCTGACATCCTCCATTTTTTAATTTGTCTACTCCTTTGGTCAATGATCAGGAGTTTCTCTTTCCTCTAGCTAACAGACACAGGTGGATCTCTCAGAATTTTCCATATAATAATTTGCTTTATTCAATTTAGATTGTAGTCAGAAGATATAGCCTTTAGGTGCATGCAGTCTTTCCTTCCTGCAGAAGCATGTGTACAGGACACTGGGAAGGGAAGAAGGCAGGAGGTCAGTCTGCTGCATTTCACTGCAATCTGGTTCCAAACCTTGCTGGGCAGAAGCAGTGGCATGGCCTCCCTCCTATAGTCATCTTTCAGTTGTGAATTCCCTTTTTGTAGCTGGCTGTCCCCATCCATTTGTAAGTCTGGCTCAATGCTGTCTTTAAAGGACTGAGTTAAGATGCAATCTAAAGCCCTGTGTACATCTTGTCTTGATAAAAACATATCCTTTAGTGTAGGAAACCTTTAACTAAGTGCTTGGACTAAGGCAACCTCAGACTGCCTGTAACCCTGCAGCAAATCGCCGTGATAAGCAGCAGAGTCTCATCCAAAACAGACTGATCATCTAATGGTGTTGCAAGGACAGGCAGAGTAGCTGGGACAGCATGGGGAAGCATGCTGCACTCAGTCTGTCCTCACAAATGTAGCCCAAACCAAGGAGCAGTCAATGTCTGAAGCTTTTTCTGACTCATCCTGAGGATCTGCATGTCTGTACGTGCTGGGACAGCACTGTGGGTTTGGGCTTTGGTGATGAAGGAGGCCAGGGTTTGCAAGGTAGGGTAGACACAGCAAGACACTACCTTCTTGTGCCTTTGCCTGTGCCGA